TATATATAATTATTTATAAATATATTAACTTTCAAATAAATTGATATCAACTTAATAATGTAATATTTACAAAAAAATGTAATTTAAATATGCTTAAATGTATTCAATTATTGATATATATACATATGGATTACATGTGTTAATAGGGAAAAAAAAAAAAAGAAGCTAAGAGGCGTGTGGATCTTTGCCCATTTGTAGCAGGCCGTGCGAGGAGAATGAAGGCATCCAGATTGAGAATTGCAGAATACATTTGCTAAAAAAAAAAAAAGAGAAGAAGAAAAAGCTAGCTGAGAGGCGCACGGATTTGAGGACGTTACAATAGGTTGCGTGAAGAGAAGGACGCTAGGCTTGCGGGAAGAGAATTGCAGAATATGTGTGGTAATAGAAAAAAAAAAGAAAAAAAAAAAGAAAGAGGCTAAGAGGTGCGCGGAGTAGAGGAAGTTGCAGCAAGCCATGCGAGGAAGGAAGCCATGCAGGAGGAGAATTGCAGAATTCAACGAGATGGTGGGGTATATAAAGAACTTTTAGCAACATAACCCTTGTTGTTGAAAGTTTACCCTACTATAAGCAGCTTAGATCATGTTCTTAAAACCCATTTAAATTTGAATCTCACTTCTCATCACCAATGTGTATTATGTTACCAAAATTTGAAATCAGAATCACTCCCTCCTCACCACCAAATAATTAAAATTTTTATATTTTAAATAATTCTTAATCTTTAAAAAATTCATTTTTATAAATAAAATTTAATTTATTAGTTGGTTTTCATTCATCTATTAAATTTTATTTAACACATGGTAAATTAATTAATATATTTACATTAGTTATTAACATATTTAGATAGTTTTAAACTCTATTTTATTTTAAAAAAAATATGTGGACATGCATATGAGGTGGCCAATCATTAAAAAACATTAAAAACAATAATATAAACTCTACGTAAAATAGTAATTCTTGAAAGTATAAAAATCATAAACTTTATATTAAATTGATCAGGTTACATCATAACCTTAGATGGTTAAATCAATTCATAATTAAAAAAAAAATAACAATCCTATGATGAATATATGAGTATCCAACATCATAAAATAAAATTAAAAAACAAGCAAAATCAATTTAACAATAAAAAATCTCAAGTTTTGATCTCCTTTTGTTGTTGAATTATTCTTAGCCGTCTCTCTTGGTTTCTTTCCAAAAGCTTTTAAACTGATTTTTAAATGAGTATTTATAAAGTTTAAGAAATCCTATTAGAAACGGAGTAGGACTTCGAACAAAATAGGAAATTTGAATTTTTGGACGCTGAACGCATGGCATCGACACTGTAGATTACACTGTAAATCACGTGTCGACACTTCACCCGTGTCAGGTTACTGGCATATTTCTGCAATTTCTTCAATGGTAAAATTGCAGATCTAGTCCTCCATATTTTATACGATGATCACTTAGATTCAAAAAATTAATATTCATTTATTTAGGTCCCACACGAGAACCTTTCTTCTTGCAATTCAGTCCGTAAACTTTCAGAAAATATTCAATTAATCTCAAAAACTCTTATTATTATGCATTCAAGTCCTTTTTTTTTTGTAGAAATAATGAAAACCATGTAAAATCTCATAAAATTCATCAAAATATTAATAATATCAAAGTAGAAATCCCACATTAATATATATATATATATATAAATTCAGTTTATCAATGACCATTTGTATATTCTAAACCTGAAACTCATAGCAATTCAGTTGATCTTACTACAAACCATTCAATCCCAACT